GGCCGCGCTGCCCTTTTCCCTGGCCAGCGGGCGGCGGGGGGGGGGGGCGGGGCGCAACCGGGGGGGGGCGCAGGAAGCGGGGCTCACGACCCTTTCCTCACACTCACCGGAGCTGCCCCACGGTCGTGTTGTGGTACTCCGGCACTTTCCGGTAAATCGCTCCCACCTGCAAGGCAACGTCTGGGTTCTGCACGGAGGTCGCGCTCGGCGGGCGGGAGCGGCGCCCCCCGGATTTCGCCGGAGACCCCTCCCCTCCGCCTCCCCCGCAGGCGGCGCTGGGGCAGAGCGGGGCTCCCGCGGCTGGGGAGGAGCGCTGGGCCCTTCCCCGCCCCCTCCTTTCCCTGCCGAAACCCAGCCCCATAAAGCTGTCCCGGGGTCCGGGGGGGGGCACCCCGCCTCCTTCCTTTGCTTCTTGGAGCCAACCGAGCTTTGCGGGGAGGGTTGGAAGTGGGAAAGGGCGTGGAAGGATCATCTTGGAACAGCCTGCCCCACCTTTCCTGGGGGGCTGCTGAACAGGGAAACAGCAGCCTGCCCCCCACTTCACCATGGCTTACATCCTTTCCAGGAGGAGGGGGGGTGAGAAGCCTACCTGGTTGCAGCGCCCCTGGCCTGCCCCTTCCTCCCAGGGGCTGGGCCTGGTGGGAGAAACCCGAGGCTGCCCGCCTTCCGCCCCGCTGGGCCTCGCGCCCGGCCACAGGCTTCGCTCGGGGTTTACCTGGAGACGGGCTCTCCGGGACTCACCTGCTGCGTGAACTCCCTGGCAAAGTCCCGATACTCCTCCGTGGAAGGGTCAGCCAGCGCTGCCACGAATCTGCGGTTGGTGACGGTAACGGTCACGTCAATCCACGCGCTCACGGCTGCAATGAGACGCGTTCCCGTGGTTAGGGTGGCCCCCGGTGCCAGGGAAGGGGCCCCGGGAGCGGAAGGGGCAAGAGGGCAGCGCAAGCAGGCCTCCCCCCATGCGCCTGCGGGAGGAAGACCGGCCGCGGGGCTCCAGCAGGCGGGGGCAGCACCAGGCCCAAGTCTGGACGCGCCGGTCTGAAGAGTGACGGCGAACCTTTCAGAGGCTGAGTGCCCAAACTGCAACCCAAAACCCACTTATTTATCGCAAAGTGCCAACACTGCAATAAAACCCGAAAACGGCGGTTTTAGTTTAATAAAAACACCTCACAGCCAATCCAAGCAAACATATATATATATCCCTGGCAGCACACTGACTGGCCATTTGGAAGCTCAGACGAGTCGTGGCTAATAAGTCGCGGCTCGTGACGTCATCGCCTGGCTCCGCCACTCCCTTCCGAGCAGCGCATGGCCCCTGTGTGCGCTGTTGTCCGATGCTCGGCTGCTGGGGCGAATTGGCCCGCGTGCCGACAGAGAGGGCTCTGCCTGGCCGTTGCGGCACGTGTGCCATGGGCCCGCCACCGCTGGTCTAGGGGGCCGGTCGCCTTGGACACCCACCGCTTTCTCTGCTGCCCTTTCGGGGGCTGCAGCAGCCATACCTGTGTTGACCTCGATGACGTTCACGACAAACTCGCATCTGGGGCCCCAGAAGTAGTGGGTACAGCGGCAGACTTCTCCGAGCCACGTGCCCCCGTTCTGGCAGATGCCTGCGAGGAAGGAAGGACGGACGGTAGTCCCTGGCCCCACACAGGGCGGAAAACCGGGGGGAAAACCCTCATGCATTCGAAACGCTGGCAAGGCCGGATGCGACCGTTTCTCTGCACAGTGAGCTCGGCACGTCTGCCAGAGCGCCCATGTTCCTCTGCAGGCAGGGCAGGGCCGCCCCGAGCAGGGGTGCTCCTGGCCTCACTGTTCAGACAGGCCACCCTCCGGCGCCCCCTTCCTCGGAGGCTGCTTGGTGCAGGAGACAGGGTGGGAAGAGCGGAGGGAACCCTCCCCTCGTGGAGGAGGCCGGGCATTTGCGCGTGACATCGTGGCTCGTGGGCCCCCAGAGTGGCCCCAGGTCGCCCCCGCGTCTGCCTCGGGGGCCCTTTTGGGAGGACTGAGGCAGGCGAGCCCCCCAAACTTTCTCCAGTGCAAGGTGACTTCAGCCGTCCTTAAAGGTGACGGTGGCACTGCGGTCTCTGCCGCACCTGCAGCACGTACTGCTGCCTGGGGCATCGGGGCCGGAGCCTGCCCCGGAGACAGAGCCCCTGTTCCCCCAGCCTCCTATCATATGGCATCCCCCACAACCTGGCTGCCCTCCTTGTGACCCTGCACAGAACTGATTCTAACCTTGCTCTGTCCCTCGTGTAACGTGGAGCCCAGAAGTGGACAGCGCACTCCAGTTGCGGGCGCACCAGAGTCATACAGAGTGGCAGCAATCCCTCTCCCGATCTAGAAGCCACGCTTCTGGCTATGCCCCCAAGGGTGGCGTTCGCCCTCTTGAGCACCGCATCACACGGCTGGCTCACGTTCAGCCTGCAGTCCAGCAGCACCCCGAGGTCCCTTTCTCAAGTGCTGCTCTCCAGCCACTTGTCCCCAAACTTGTACCTCTGGCCCTTATTCCTGATTCCCAAGTGCAAAACTTTGCACTTGTCTGCATTGAACACCATCCTGCCGTCCCTCACGGACTTGCGCCGTCCTCCGCTGTGGCCACCACCCCATGTTCGCATCATCTGTGAATTTGATCGGCAGACTGGTTGTCCCCTCTGCCAAGTCGCTGATACAGAGGCTGAACAGCCCGGTCCCAGGCTGAGCCCTGCGGGACTCTGCTCGTCGCTGGCCGCCACCCTGAGGCTTCCCTGCTGCTGGTCCCCCTCTGCTGGTGGCCGTTACCCTGCCCTCCCCCATGGGCCAGCGCCTCGAGCTATCCGAAAGCTCAACAATTTCTCGGCCAGGAGGTCATGCGGCGCAAATCCAGGCAAACCACGTCCCCCACGTCTAGCCCCCTCAAAACCTTATCCTGGAAATCCACAAGGATTGTCTGGCCGGACCTCTTTTTGCGGAGGCCGTGTTGCGTGGCCACCGCCCTCCCTTCCCTATCCAGGGTCGCTAGAGCTTTCCCTATTACGAGCTTTTCCGTCATCTTTCCCAGAAGGGGCGTAAGGCTAACTGGCCCGTAGTTCTCCTTGTCCCCTCTGCTACCCTTCTGAAGACGCAGTCCTTCCCCTCCAGCAAAAGGGCACCCACGACCCAGGGCTGGATCCCACCGTGCCCATCCCCCGCCCCAGCAAGTTACCTGTGGCGGTGGTGGCCGTGGCGGTGCTGGCCGTGGCGGTGGTGGCCATGGCGGTGGCGGTGGGTGGCGCTGGACTTGCTGTTGGGGTGGCAGTGCCGCAGAGGCCGGCGTCCACGCATTCTTCGCAGCGGGGCCCGAAGTAAGCAGGGGGACAAATGCATTTCACCCCATCAAAGGTGCCCCCGTTCAGGCAGGCCAGCGCTGCAAGAGACGGAGCTCGCTAGACGCTCCGGGCCGGGAGCGGCCACCGCAGAGCGAAGCCAGAGGGGCCAGGCCTGCCAGCAGCCCCCCTGTGGCTCGGCACCGATCAGCCCCACTGCTTCCGGGCGGACGACCAGGAGACAGAACCCCGAATCGCAGAGAGGGGGCAGGAGGCACGGAAGCAGCTGGACTGTGGCGGTGCAAAGGCAGTCTGTTCATGTTCCGCGCCATTGCACTGCACGGCGGCTTTCCGGACTCCGGGGCTGCCCCCCCCCCCACACACCCGCTGGGTCCACGTAATTTGGCTCATGCCCTCAGAAAAAGGTAGGCACCAAAATACCAGAGTAGAGCGGACCCTGTGAAGGTGGTCCCTGCCGGCAAGATACCTGTGGCGGAGGTGGCGGTGGCGGTGGGTGGCGCTGGACTTGCTGTTGGGGTGGCAGTGCCGCAGAGGCCGGCGTCCACGCATTCTTCGCAGCGGGGCCCGAAGTAAGCAGGGGGGCAAATGCATTTGCCCCCATCAAAGGTGCCCCCGTTCAGGCAGGCCAGCGCTGCAAGAGACGGAGCTCGCTAGACGCTCCGGGCCGGGAGCGGCCACCGCAGAGCGAAGCGGCTCCCCCACCCCAGCTGGGAATGACCTGCCCGTGGCCTGCCCCCTTCGGCTCAGTGTCGGCCGGCCCCAGAGGACCAAGCAAGACCCCCGCGGAGCTGCTGGGCCCGCAGAACCCCGCCCTCGCCCAGGCAGCCCGGCGATCCCATCTCCCCAGCCCTCGGTCCCCCCCATTCACCTACCGGTTATGGGGCACAGGAGGGAGAGGAGGAGGAGGCGAGCGGAGGCGCACCGAACGTGTCCGGGACCATCCATGGCTCCGCAGCCAGCAGAGAGGAGCAGCCTGGCAGGGCCGCCCCGGGACCACGTGCTCGCCAGCCCGACACCCGTCCCGCAAGAACTTTGCCCCACCTGGAAATCGCCTAGTCACCCAACGCAGGGAGGGGTGGCAAATTGCAGACCGTATATCCTGAGATGTTTTATTGCAAGGTGGCAATGAAGTCTGGCTGAAAGACCAAAGGCCAGCGGGTCATTGCCAAGGGGAATTTCCGCCCCTGTTCCTGCTCCGCCTGCTGAGGCGCCTCGCTGGAGCTTCGGGGCGAGGCAGGAGAGCTTCGCTCGGGCAGGGGCGGAGTGGCCCCCGGGGTGCAGAGAGGCCTCCCCCGGCTGAGTGCAGTGGGGGCAACGGGTCGGGGGGTGCGCGGCACTTGGCTTGTCTGCGCTGGTGACATGTGCGGATGCGCCGATTTAAAGGGATTTAGATTCTGCTCCCCAAGAGCTCCCCAAGAAGATAGAATCGCAAGGACACCGCTTAAAACAAAGCTCCGTATCAGGCGAGAGGGCTGCGCAAAACAGTCAGCAAAAGAAACCGTTTGCGTGGCGAATCTGACGCTTCAGGAAGCTGTCCTCATGCAAAGCCTGGATTTCAGAGGCCGCTGGCAGGGAATGTCTTCTGCATCATCTGGCCTGGGTTGCCATAAAGGTGTTTGTGGGGACGCCCCGGATTCTCAGCAGCAGGGCCCAGAGTCTTCCACTGACTCCCCAGTCCAGGATAATACAAGGAGGAAATTGTTGAAAAGCAAATTGCCAGTTGCAAGAAAGACCTGGTAAGACCTCACCTTCCCCAATTCTGCCAGCAGGGGGCCTCCAAGCCATTCCTCACGCGTGTTGCTGACAGCTCCCTCCTGCAGAAAGCGGAAAGGAAGGAGAGGAGCAGCGATGCTCGGCCTGATTCTGACCAGCAGGGAAGGCCCGGGGAGCGAAGCACCTGCATTGATCTGCCGGGGGCTCGACCGCAGCCGCGAGACGGGACAGCTGGGTTCAGCCAGGAAAGGCCCCTGCCGCCCTGAACCTCAGCAGTTTATGCAACGATCCCCCGGGTCCCCTGCAGCCACTTACGACAGCAGACTGCCGAGCAGCGGTTCTCACCGCCAACTACACAATCACAGCCCATGTACAGGCATTTCTATAGCCTTCCAAGCACTTACAGAGCATGAGGATTCCAGATAATGTCATTACAATGGCATCTTGATGTCTTTCGGCATGACATAATGTCTAAACCATCAGAAATGCTGGTCACAAGAGTATGGAAAATATTACTGATTGCTTTATGGACATGTTAGTTCAGGGCAGCCTCTGTGTCTGCTAAACATGCAAATATGTCTGAGTGAGGGACCATTCAGGAAAGCTGGTCTGACAATCGCTCTGCCTCTGTTGAACTAGATGATTAAATGGGTCCATTCAGGAACAAATAGGCACCTTTGTCTCCTGGGAACACTGACACTGTCAGCCTCCAGCAGCTTCTCAGCCCTGCTAAGAATTCCATCTTCTTAAAGCAACAGCAAGGCTAGACAGCAACCTGGCTTGGAATTCTGCTGCTTTCTGGGACAGAGGTGCAGGTTTGGTTTTAGAACACCAAGGCGCACATGAGCAACTTTTTCCTACCAGGATTTATTCTGGATTTCCCCAACAATTCCAAAAGAAGCAAAAGCCAAAGCTAGCCAGACATGTACCCTGGGATTTAGGAAAGCCGATCCTAACGACCTCAGAACAATGATAAGCAAAGTCCCACGGCAAGTGACTCCAATGAGAAAAGGAATCCAAGACGGGCAGCACCTCTTCTTAAACAAGGCAGTTCTAGAGGCACATGAGCAGTACGAACAAGGAGAAAGGATAGAATGCAGCAGAAGAAGCCCGTCCCGGGGCTTGAGAGGATCTGACAATGGGAAGGGGCATGTGCAGGAGGCGGAAGGAAGGAGCAGGGAGGGACCACGGAATTGCAGGGACGCTGTCAGGGAGCCCACAGCGGAAAGCAGGCCAGGGTTAGTGAGGATAATACTCCAAAAGGAACAGAACAGAAACAGCACGTTTCCTTAGACGCATGCCCAGAGGAACAAAATGGGGCCCAGTGGCTCATTGGCAGATTGGCAGAAACAAGAAAAGGCGGACTCGGCCAATGCCTGGCGTGGCTGGGTCTTCCCAAAAGACGGTCTACGACCGCCCTGAAATACAACAGGGGCAAACGCCAAATTCGCTCCCTCGGGAAAAGGAACCATTAAATGCGTTTACAGGACGGGGACCGCTCGGCTCAGCGGTACTGCAGGCGGGGAGGGTCTTCAGCTTGACGCGGCGGCAAAAGCGGCAAAAGCCAGCTGGGGAGGCACGAATCGCTTCCAAGTCACACAAGCCAGTTCTTCACCACTTGGCACCGGTTGACCTTGTCCGGAGTCCTGTGTCACCACCGTTCAGATGAACGGGAAAGGGCTTGTTGGAGGGCAACGAGGATGAGCCGGCGGCGAGAAGGGAAGACGGAGACGGAGGGGAAGCAGGCCGGGTCGTCTCAGGCGCGTCTTCGTGGTGGTGGAGCGGGGCGAGGGCGGCTTCTCCGCCGTCGTTTGGGTCGCGCTCGCGTCCCGCCGGGCTGGCTGCCTGAGCGCTGCCCCGTTCCTGTTCCAGGCGGGTGGGCAGGGGCACCGCCAGGCAAACGGCCGGGGCAGCCCCCGCAGCATCCGGGGAGCCCGGGATGCGCCCGCACTCGCACCTGCCGCTCCCCCACGGCTCACTTCGCGGCGGCACGCGGAAAGTGGTGGCGGCGGCGCGGGACGGGCAGTGCCCGGGGGCTGCTGCTGCAACCAGCGCGGGACGGAGCATCTGGCCTGGGGGTGCCTCCTCCCCACGGGTCCCGGACAGGATCCCACGCGAAGGAGAAGGAGGACTGCCGGGGCGTTCAGTGGGCCGGCCAGGGAGCAGCGGGGGGGGGGGAGCCCTGGCCGCCCTGCCGACCGAGCGACCCCCTCCCCGCCTCTGCTAGCCGGGAGGCCTCCACAAGCGGCCCTCAGCAGGGCCCGGGAGGGAGCGAGCGAGCGCGGGGGGTCTGTCTTGGGGCGCACTCACAGCGCGTGGCCTCCCCCGCGATGGTGCCTGCCCCGGGCCCGGGCTCAGGAAGGGACGGGCCCTGGACGGGCCGCTTCAGGCAACGGCCCCTGGCCCCCCGCCCGCCCCCCCGCGGGTTCCTTGGGTGAGCGTTTCATGCCGGATCAGTGTTGGGGTGGGGATTCAGGAGGAAGAGGAGGCCGGCAAGCTCCCAGGCATGGCTGGCTTGGGGAAAGGAAGGTCTCACTGCATGGGGCGGGGTGGACCGGAAGGGCTGGTGGCCCCCCTTGGAGCCCGGCTGGGCGCCCAAGGGAGTGTCGGGGTTCCCCAGATTTTAGCGTGGGTGCAACCCCTGGATCTAAATCAGAACCTCCCGGATGTGCCTCTGAAGTGGCCCCTTTGGGCCAGGGCACTTCTCACAGACCCCAAGCTCGGGGCAGCTTGTGGGACAGGAAGGGCAGGCGCCAGGATAAGGCCAGGAGCTCAGGAGCCGCGCTGCAGGCCTGAGCGACCCTTTGAGACCGGGGTCCCCTCTCTGCCTGGATGCGCCGTCCTTCCTGGCCTGCCAGGGGGGCATCTCTCTAAGGGGCCTCGCTCCCCTCCTGCATCCGCCCCGCTGCTGCCCGCGTGGGGCTGTGGCTGCCCTGGCTGGGCCCCGCCCCGCTGCTGGCTGTGGGGCCCAGGGCCTTTCCCCCCATGGGACTTCCACGTAGAGGGCAGAGACGGCCATGCGCTCGGGAGGCCTCCTGCCCAGGAGCTCTGGGGATGCCCCAACATGCAGCCCCTCCCCTCCCCTCCCCTCCCCTTCCCTGGAGAGCTTTAGAGGCCGGGGTTGCAGCTGGCCAGCCACGGGGCACCTGGTGCAGGGGATGGCATCCGTCTTTCCCCACGTGGCCTCAGGGCACCAGGGCCCTCCTGCGGAAGATATTCCAGAGCACCCGGGAGTCCTGCTGGCTCCATTCCTCCCAACGGGTGGACTGGCTTGGCAGACGCCCCCCCACCCCCCCCGGCGTCCACAGCCCGGGTCAGCCCTGTGTCCTCGGAGCAGCTGGGCCCACGGGAGGCCCCACGGCTCAGATGCCTGGAACCTCTGGGCACAGGCCGGCAGAGCGCTTCCCGGGCGAGGGCTCCCCGAGCACCACCGCTGGGGCAGCTCCTGCCTTCGGGCCCACTGGCAGCCCTGCCAGCGACACGTGCGCCACACCAGGAGGTCGCAGGGCCGGGCCAGCTGGCGCGGCAGCCCGTGGGGAGCAGCCCCGGGCAGAGGGGTGGCGCACGGCCGCAGGCGGTCCAGGCACGCTGGGGAAGCTCCGGCCAGCCTTCA